AAAGTAACATAATTTACATGAATGTTTTCATAATGATCTGCCAACAAATTGGATGGTCTTAATAAAGAAAGTGACAGCCAGTAAGGAAAAGCAAACAAAGATATACAATTCCTTACTGTGCTGGAAGGAAGTGAAGAAAGGTGTCAAATTTCGGTATCTTCATGGTGAATTTTTTCTTCATCAAGAAAAAAAGATAGGACGGGCGTGGTGGCTCACGCCTGTAATCCTAGCACTCTGGGAGGCCGAGGTGGGCAGATTGCTCGAGGTCAGGAGTTCAAAATCAGCCTGATCAAGAGTGAGACCCCGTCTCTACCATAAATAGAAAGAAATTAATTGGCCAACTAATATATATAGAAAAAATTAGTCAGGCATGGTGGCGCATGCCTGTAGTCCCAGCTACTTGGGAGGCTGAGGCAGAAGGATTGCTTGAGCACAGGAGTTTGAGGTTGCTGTGAGCTAGGCTGACACCAGGGCACTCACTCTAGCCTAGGCAACAAAGTGAGACTCTGTCTAAAAAAAAAAAAAAAGAAAAGAAAAGAAAAAGAAAAAAAGATAATGATTTGTAAGGCCAAAAGTATATCCTACATTATCAACATAGTAAAACCAGTATTTAAAAGTGTTTTCTCAAATACATATATTGCAAGTTTCAAAATAAGTGAACAAATGCAGAGCAATAAAGAGAAAATGTTCTTTCATTATGAAAAAAAAAAAATCCAGTGCATTGCAATGAGGCCCTCTGCTGTGATTTTTTTGATATTACACCAAATAATCCAGTTTCCAATGGTGTTTCAATGTCTTTGCTATGCCAATACTTTCAGAAAGCTTTGAGGAAAAAATGACTTAAATCTTTCTACAAAGTTTAGTCATTTCCAGGATTTTTTAAAATTGAAATGACTGATTCTGGGTAATGTTATTCTGAACATAGTGTTTGAGCCACATAAACCTCAGTAAAACCCTTAGTGACAGCATTATTTATTTAAGAACAGATTTTCATTTATTTTGTATCTATTTAAATATTTCCAAAAAGATATTATATTTCATGCCAACTGGTTTCTATAATGACAATAGTCCACCCAATTCTATGGCCAATTTTTTTTTCTTAGAAATTTTTGTGTCTCAAATGGCTATTCCTAATAAAGTATCTCCATTTCCTAGAAAAAGATAACAAGTAGTCCAGAAAATTAACTCAAAAACTCACATGAGACTAAAACTAATGCCATCTGATCATCCTTTTAAAATTGCCAGGAAGCAGAGGTGGACTCACAGGGAAGTGAAAGCCTCATTTGCAGGGTCCCTGCTAAGTATTGGGAGTGGCCAGGAGTTGTGAAGTATTTTAGGTGGGGAGTAAAAGTCAGGTTGCAATAGTGAAGCATTTCTATGTAAACATTTCTGGTAACTTGCCTCAAAATAGCTTAGGAGAAAAAAGAGACCTGAACCTCCAACATTAAAGTAAATTGTCATGATTTCTTTTCCTATGCTAAATAGGTCATGTCTGTTTTTATATTTTTAATTTTATGTTCTTTTTCTGAAAAATTTGTGCAAGCCCAAGATCCAGAAAACCTAAATCTGCCACAAAATAGTACAATGCTATCCAACACAGTCTTGCCCAGAAAATGTTATTTTACTCTTATTGGGTCATTTCATATTAATAAAAAAATGATTTTAATGGCAATTTTGAAACCAAGACTAAATAGTAGCCTTAAAAGGCACTGGTAAAATACTTTATATAATTTTTAAGGGAAAGAGAGAGAACTAACATCTTCCCCACAGCAAAGTCACCCAGCATTCAGGAGCCCCTAGCTTTTGATATCTATGTAGGGGTTAAAAGAACTGGGTTTAGAGTCAAGCTGTCTTGGATTTCAACCCTGAATCCATCATCCTATTATCTATGTCACCTTCAGCAAGTCAATCATGCCTAACAAATAGTAGACTTTCAATAGCTATTTGATGAATGAATAAATAATGCATCAATCCTATACACTGTCCAGAAAACTTTAGCAAATATAGCGGTTCAATTTATTTCAATTATTAAAACAATTTGTTGTACATTTCTTAGGGAAAAGGTATTATACATAAAGGTAGGAGGGAATGCAAGAGTTTAACCACTTCGGTACTGTGCTCACCAGCTACGAAACCTTGCCCACAGCCGGCACTCATAGTCCGCACGATAGTTTGTGCAGTGCATTGACGAGGAATCCGTTTTGCTCTTGTGTGATGAGGAAAGCTTTAAAGCACTGAAAGCTTGTTTTACTTTACAGGCAGCTTTACTTGTAATGTAAATCAGAATAGGTAACATATACATATATGTTTTCATTATGTTATTTTTAAATGTTCACAATTTTATTTTGATAAACGAAAAATCAGAAAAGTCATATCACGGCTGTCAGCTAAAGTCGACGCTTGGCTGTGCGCCTTCATATCACGGATGTCAGCTAGAGTCGCTGTGTGCGTTCATCTGTGGCTGTCGACTATAGGCGAGGCTGGTACTGAAGTGGTTAAGCAAAGTGTTGTTTGGATTTTAAAAAAGGATTTGTATTTGACTGAAGAGACTGGAAAAGCCTTCATGGAGCAAAAAGCATTTAAGGATGTAGCCCTAAAAGAATATTCAGATTAGACCTGGGTGATGGAGAAGGTGAAGTAGGCTGGGAGCATTTCAGACTAGAGGAACAACACTCTAAGCCAAGACCCAGAGATGAGCAAGTACTGGACATACGCGTTCTGAGGACAGTCAGTAGCCCTGTTGTCTTGTGGTATAGAGAATTCATAGAAGAACGGAACTGGAAGCTATTCAGGATCATATCACCACTTCAGTTAGTGATCCTCCCCATTCTGGAGACACTCACAAAATTCCCTATCAGTGAGGGTTCACACAACCACCATTATAACTACACTTGACTTATTTACAGACACTGCCTTTCATTGGTACAAAGAAATACAGGAGTTAGAACAAATTTTTAAAAAACTACAATTAAGCTATTCTAAGTTCCAGTGTTAAATGGAGATTGTTTAATTCAAGCTTTCATCCAAGAAGGAACCATATGTAACTTTTTCAAATAATGACTTCTTTCACATTGAGAGCATTTGAATTTCAAAGTCTATGTTAAAGCCATTAACTGGAAGACAGAAAGGGAAGGAAGCCTAATGGGCACTGGGTTAAAATCATAAATCTTGTTTTTGGTCATTAAGAGGGAAACTGTTCTCTAGGCAAATGTCAACAAAGATAAATGAGTAAATAAAGGAAATACCATTCTTGCTGGTATAATGTAAAAATTAACGGCCTTGAGTCAGACTTGAGTTTCAAATTGGCCTCTGACACTTATCAGTAGTGTGACCTTGAGCAACTCATGCACCTTGGTTTCCACTTCTGTAAAATAAGAAGCACCATCATAATAATAAACCTTGCTGGAGGTATATCCTATTACTATCTGCCTGTGGGAAGAGTATACATTTTCACCGCACTCTCTTGGACTTGGCCCCTGATGTGCTTTTTCCAACAGAATGTGACATTTGTCACTTACCTTTGTTATGAGAACACCACGCATCTAAGGAGCCTTCAGCCTGCATTCTAGAATGAAGAGGAGACAGGAAGCAGAGATGCAACTGACCTAAAGCCTACATAAAACATAAATGACAAATAAACTTTGTTATTGTAAGCTACCCAGATTTGGAGGTTGTTCCACTGCACTCTCCACCTCACATATTTGTTAAGTTGGTTGAATAAAATATTTCAAGGCACTTTATAACATTCTATGCCCATCCATACCTCAAACTAGCTTCTTCTCTCACCATACGTTTATTGTTGCAAGTCAGAAATTTTAGGAACAGAACTAATGATCTGAAAGAGTAAGGAAGAATGGGAATACCCACTTTCAAAGCTGCACCTCCTCTTCCGCCCCTCTGCCACTGGCACCCAAACTCGTTGCTCCTGACCCATTAGCACTGTACCCAGTTCCTATCCCATATCCTTACCCTACTTCATAAAAAAAAAATAATCCCTGGGGAATTTGTTAATTATGATGTGGACTCCCATAAAAATATTGAAGGAGGGAAATATCTGAAAATGATGCATATTTTTATGCTAGTGCTGGTCCTAATTTCTCTGAGAAAATGCTCAGAACGGACTGGGTCTGTTTTCCCTCCACATTTTGCTTAAATTTTTCTTGACTCCTTCATTTAGTCAGTTTTACCAGATCTTCTTTGTTCAATCCTATTTGCACGAAAGGATTCCATGAAAAAAAGTTTAAAAGGGTAGCTTAAAAAAAAAAGGCATTTCAATTTAAGTAGCAGTAAACAACCCTTGACTAAACCCAATGAAGTAACCATTGAGATGACAGAGGAAAGGCCCAAGAGACGGGCACCAGGATTCACACTAAACCTGGCAGAGACGATAGCTAGGGAAGTGGGTGGGCCAATGATTGGGCCTGAAAACAAGATAATCTTTGTTCTAAAGGTCCCTTAGGACTCCCATCTCTGCAAGGTGAAGCTGAAGGAACTCAGGTTTAGAGTTAAGTAAGTCCCCACACGTTTGAAGCGCCGCCGCCACACAACCTCTGTGCAACTTGAAGCCACTTACTTACCCAACGGATCAAGGTGAATCACCGCTACCTCACAGGATCACTGCAGGGGATAAACAAAATAATAAGATGAGTGGGACACTTCACAGAGCACCTGGACGATAACAGCTGCTCAAAAAACCCTGGCTTTTACGTTGGCTGGAGCCAAAGTAACAAGATGGCGGCGCGGGCAGGCTGACGGGTCCCGCGTGGCGGAGCCGGTGGCTGCGGTGTCGCCGCCCTGGCCCTCCGCGTTCCTTTTCCAGCCCTCGACGTAGCCAAAAACGCTAGGCGGCAGCGGCGGCCGCCCAGAAACAAGAGGCCCAGGCTAGTAACCGGGAGATCCCCTCACAGGCTGTGGCCTGGCAAAAAGAAGCCTGATCGCACGGTGGCGCCCCCGTTCCCCTTGGCTGGTTCCGGGCCGGGTAACGCCGGGACAGGCCGCGCCGCGGCTCCCGCGCCCGCCGACCCGCGGCACCGGCCTCCGTGCCGGCTCTGAGGCGTAAGGGCCCCAGCCTCCTCCGTCTTCCTCACGCGACATGGCGAGCGCTGGCGCCTCCAAGGCCGAGATCATCGGGGGAGGGAAATACAAACTGGTGCGGAAGATCGGGTCTGGCTCCTTCGGGGAGGTTTATCTGGCCATCAACCTCACCAACGGCGACGAAGTGGCGGTGAAGCTGGAATCCCAGAAGGCCAAGCATCCCCAGTTGCTGTACGAGAGCAAACTCTACACCATCCTCGAAGGCGGGGTGGGCATCCCCCACGTACACTGGTATGGTCAGGAAAAAGACAGCAACGTGCTGGTCATGGATCTTCTGGGACCCAGCCTCGAAGACCTCTTCAACTTCTGTTCGAGAAGGTTCACGATGAAAACTGTACTCATGTTAGCTGACCAGATGATCAGTAGAGTCGAGTATGTGCACACAAAGAACTTTCTACACAGAGACATTAAACCGGATAACTTCCTGATGGGCATCGGGCGTCACTGTAACAAGTTGTTCCTTATTGATTTTGGCTTGGCCAAAAAGTACAGAGACAACAGGACGAGGCAACACATCCCATACAGAGAAGATAAACACCTCACTGGCACTGTCCGGTATGCTAGCATCAATGCACATCTTGGTATTGAGCAGAGTCGCCGAGATGACATGGAATCATTAGGCTATGTTTTGATGTATTTTAATAGAACCAACCTGCCATGGCAAGGACTAAAGGCTCTAACAAAGAAACAAAAATATGAAAAGATTAGTGAAAAGAAGATGTCCACGCCTGTCGAGGTTTTATGTAAGGGATTTCCCTCAGAATTTGCCATGTACTTAAACTATTGTCGTGGGCTGCGCTTTGAGGAAGTTCCGGATTACATTTATCTGAGACAGCTGTTCCGCATTCTTTTCAGGACCCTGAACCACCAATATGACTACACATTTGATTGGACAATGTTGAAACAGAAAGCCGCACAGCAGGCAACCACTACCAACGAGCAGGGCCAGCAGGGCCAGCTGGCCCACACCTCCACAAGTAAGCCACAGGAGAAAGGCAAGGGTAACCCAAAAGGTTACTAAGTATGAATTGAGGAACAAAAAGGAGCAGAGCAGATGATCAGAGCAGCATCTGTTTCTCCTCACATCTAGAAATTTCAGTTCACATGTATACTCGCCAGTGGCTATGGACAACCATTTACTTGGTGTAAAAAACAAAAAAAACCTTGATCCCAGTATAAACTGACTCTGGACAGCATTAGTGTACTGTATCCCAAGTTGTAGCCACTGTAATTGTGAATATTAACTGAGGTAGTGAAACATGGTGTCTGGTCTTCTATTGCATTTTTTCAAGTGGAAAAGTTAAATAGTTGACACACACAACTTAGCGGAGAAATTTTGCATACTCCAATTTTTGGTTAAAACCTTTTATTTTGTACTAGACTGCTTTGAGATTTCATTTCAGAAGAACGGCATGAACAGGCTTCAGCCACAGCTGTGAAGGTTGTAAATGCCCCCAATTGTGCGTTCTTAGGGTTTTTCCATTCCTGGGGTTTGCAAGTTGTTCACTTACAACATTCTTAAAATGGTTGGCTTCTTGTTTGCAAGCCAGCTGATATGGTAGCAACCAAAGTTTCCAGTATGTGAGCATGTGAAAGACTCTGCCTTTTTACCTGTTAAGAATTAAGAAAAACATAGTGACTATTAGATTATCCTTAGGATCCCACATTAACTCCATCATGTTCTTAGTATTAATATATATATATATATGAACATGTACATTGCTTAGATAAATTTAATCACTGTAAACATCTATATGATCTAGGATTTTGTTCTTAATTTGAGGTGGGAGCTTTTTTGTTTACAAGTTCATTAAAAACTAGGAACTGTTACTTCTGTGAGGAAATGACACTTTTAAACAAAAAAAGTACCTTGCTGACTCACTATGAAATTCATATCTTCCTAATTTTTTGATAGACTATTTCAAGCCATTTGCTGCATAACATGCCTTTGCAAGTCAATTTAGATTTAGGGTTGTAACTTTTTTTAATGTTTTTTATTTTAAAGTAATTTTTTTTGTCTGAAAGGTAAAGGTATTTTTTCATTTTTCTTTTTTTAATGACTTTCAGGCACAAGTTCTGCAATTATCAGAACTTGATATGACTCCTGCCTGTTGACTTAACAGCTGAACTGACTTTGAATAAGAATGAAAGTGTTAAAGGGCTTGACTACAAAAGATTTTCCTTGAAAATACTTGTGAAATGGCTATAAGCAGAGGTCCAGGATATAGTGTGAGGTTCAGCACTTGTTGAGCCTCCCTAACCCCCACCTGTTTCTCTAAGTTATCTGAGTTCATGAGCTTCCTCTCTATCTTGTTTGAAAGCTCTTTTCTTTTTCTCTGACCCAAAAGAAAGGAAAACTTATTGAGGGTAATTATTCAAATAGTGTAATTCACTCATTTATAGCTTATCAGGATAAATTAAAAGAACATTTGTCTGAAAATGCTGCCATGAGCCTATTGTATAAATGTAGGTATTTTGTAAAATGACCTTAAAATTGTACATTGATAGTTGTTTTGTTAGATTATGTCAGGTTTCATTTGTTTGATTTTTTTTTTTTTTGCATTTTTTAAATTTGGAAACTACTTCAGCAATTATTAATTCCCTGATTACCACATTCTTCCATTAAGGGACATATTAGTACCATAGTACTGAAGAAATCTTAATAAGCCTGAACTTTTGGGATAGGAAGCTTCTTTCTTTCTTTCTTCTTCAGCCTTGTCAGTTAAAGCATGTGTTTCTTGACTAATAAACCCTTTGATACATTTAGACAGAAATCTGTGGGGAGTTAGCTACACTCCCAGCAAAAAATTGGGTCCCTTAGGTAGGGGTCATCACAAAGGATAAATAATAGAAAATAGAAAATAATCAAATATAGAAATAAAAGAATACACAGAGATGAAAGTACAGTTTTATGAAATATAGATTTATGAAAGGGGGGACTCGGGAGACCCCACAGCATTCCCGTAAGCTGTGAGGCCACGAGTGAAGTTTCATATCTGTATTTATAGGTACAGTGATCAGTTGCCAGGGGTAACAGATTTACGAAATAACTGGTATTTTATTTTAGGTTAAAAATCTTCCAAAAGGCTTCTGTAGATCCCTTAATTAACTCTACTCTCATTATCTACATGAGCAAACAGTTACAAAATCTTTCAAAGACAAACTTCTAAGTTCTAAGATAAAGCTATCCCTTAGCAGAAAGCTTAAACAGAGATATAGTGGCTCCATATTTCTTTATCTAGTTATTGTGGATGGAGACAGGTAGTCAGGAGTCTAGCAGGACCTGTCACTTGGGCTAATTGCTTTTAGCCCCAGATGTCTGTCAGGAGGGCACTCCTTGATCAGCTCTCATCCTGTGGCTCCATGCAAACAGGCTTTGTCATTCAAAGCAGGCAAAAAAAAAAAAAATCCGGCAGGTTTGAGACTGCAGCCTCACCTTGGAAAGCAGCTGCCACCACGGACCTTTGAGATGCCCTCCTGAGGCAAGCAGCTTTTGATATGTGAACTAACCCATTCACATATTCCTTCAGTGCAAAGCCTTGCAGAATTCCTGAAATCATTTCTGTCTCTATATTATAGGGGGCACCTCCATAAAGCAATATTTCTATGGAGCAACATCAATCAGTCTCATAAAGCTATTTTTGATTATAGTTTGCATGAAAGAAAAGTGTTTAGTTTTGGTAATAACTTTTCCAAGTTCAGTCCAAGCTGAACTCCCTCCAGCAAGGTATTTTTCAGTGCTTTTATTTCCTATGCACTTAGACTGTGCATTTATTCTGAAATATTTTTGTATTCTTCCCATTTGACAAGATTGTGGGGTAGCTGGTCTGTAACTAAGTTGCAGGTTTAAAACTACCATTAGCTTTGTAAATCAAAATATAGATGTTTTTGTCCTGGTATATCATCACTCCATCTGCTACTGGAGCTGGAATCCCATTGATCTTCTAGATCATGTTCATTGTCTTTACAGTTCACAAAAGAATAATGTGAAATTCAGTGAATTCTGTTACTAATCCTATCAGATGAATCTCATTTCACCAAAATTAAATTATGTTTTTCCACTGAAATGATGATACAAGTTAAAGACCCATCACTCTGAAATTCGAAGACCTCCCCACTTAAGGCTCCATCAGTGCCTTACTCAGCTAAACTCTCGGCCACTGTTCTTCACTTCATTCACTCATTGGGGGGTGCAGTTTTTTTAATATTTGGAGATGGCCATTCCGACTACTATTAAATGTCTCTGTTTGGGGAAGTTATAACAAGAAAATAAAAAAATCTATGTGAAGTGAGAGACTGATTATCTTCTCCCAGATGAATGTGCTTATGCTCTTATGGCTACAAACAAATATTTGGAGGTTTGCTTTTACTATGATTTTCCATCAACAAATATATTTTTTAAGATATTTTCTATCTCTACTAATCCTTGCAATACTGATGAATGTTTCAAGTAGAGCATACTGTAATAATCATAAGCTGAATTCCATTACAATAAAAAATCAAGCAAAAGGATTTTTTTTTTAATTCTCCTTGGCTTCTTTGTGATTAACCTTCTTCCATTGGGAATATTTGATAGAGTAACAGATGGGACTATGATCTACCACATAAAGACAAAAGACAGTAAAACATTTTATGTTTCAAAGCTAACAATTTTAAAAAAAAAAGTACTCATTTACATGTAGAAACGTTTTTTCCTTAATATAATTATGGCTTCTCATTGGTCACACACATAAAAAATAGCCCACATCTGAAATATGTAGAAATAAAATCACACATTTTCCAAATAAAGTCACATCATCACTTCTGTATTTCTCTGGCCTCCAACTTTGAAATCCCTAGGAACTCCAAAGAGAGAAAGAAAAAAAGAGCCCCCACCCATCAAGAGGTCATATTGAGTGATTCCAAGGAACAGTAGAAAATCTCTACTAAGTTCAAGTTTTTAACTGCCAAGTTTTAACTCCTGGCTGCAGTTCCCAACATATGACATAATTTAGAAACTTAGTTTAGGCACAGGAGAATCACAGGACTTAAAGCACTTGTGTCCTTCAACGTGTAAAATATTAATGGAAAATCCATGCAAGTCATAAATTATAAAGAAACTAAAAGGAAAATAAGAAATTTGCCAAATGGCAGCTATAGCTTTTTAAACCAAAAGGGAAAAAGAAGGACTGATAGTTATTCTATTAATGTCTAAGTCCAGTGGAACCTTCCTGGGTCCTTCACACCCTTTCCATTCTTCAGCCATTGACTAGCATCCGTAATTCTTGAGGGCCACGCTGAGCCCTGTTGGGAGGATGGAACAGCCAAGGATGGTGCTACCTTTCCAGTCGGAGATGATTACAGAACTTAGAAATACACATTTTTCACCCCAACCCAGCAGTACCAGTACCACCACCCACAACACTTGCACATATATAGACTTGCTCATAGATACTCTGCAAAAAACTTCCAAGGTCTTCCCACTGTATTTCTTTGAACCCACTCATTGATCTGTGGTCTAAAATTTTTCCCTATCAATGGAAAAGAGCCCAAAATAATAAATAATTTAAAGAGATTTATTCTGAGCCGAATATGTGTAATCCCATAGACCCACTCCCAAGAAGCATTGAACAAGTTATCTCGCTGTGGGTGGGTTATAGTTTGGCTTTATGCATTTCAGGGAAACAAGAATTACACATAAACTCATAAATCAATACATGGAAAGTCTGCATTGGTTTGGCCCAAAAAGACAGGACATCTTGAAGTAGGAAATGACAGGTTATAGGTGGGTTTAAAGATTCTTTGATTTGTAACTGGTTAAAGAAATGAAGGTTTGCTTAAAGGCTTGGAATGTATTAAGTTAAGATGAGGACATCTGTTAATCAGAGACAAGCCACCAGACACATACCAGACTTATACCCAAACTCAAGTGATCTATTAAGTAAATTGCTGACCTGAGGTGTGGTTTAAGCTTTGGCATCTGTAGTCTTAGGCCTGTTAGTGAGTAATATGGATATCTTCAAGAAGGGAAAGGAGCATGAGGAGGCATGTCTCACC